AATTTATTCAACTATCAGATTTTATCTTTTTAAAATGGGCTCAAAATCTGGACAAAACCTTCCAGCTAAATAATGCACGCCAGACTTTCGATGATGTATCCTTGGAAGACAATTACTTCAATTTACAACTTTATTAACATTATTAACTTATTTAGGGGAGTCAGACATAGAACATAAAGAACCATTTTGCTACTCAGCACTGCTTACACTTCAGAGTTCACCCTGCAATTACAGCATTTTGTATTTTCAAGGACTGCCCTTTCAATCTGTCAGAATTACTACCCCATACCCAAAAATGTTTACAACTCCTTCCATATTGGCATCATTCACAAATGCTGAGCTCCACTATTGCCATAAAAATAAGCCACTAGATCAGGATGCTAATCTGGGTACAAAAGAAAACTGCTGACAATTACTCCTTGACATTCATTTCCCAGCCAGAGCTGCGTCTCCTTCCTCATGTTTCATCTTGACACATACCCGAATTTGCTTAAGAAAAGCACATACATCCCCTATCAAGACTCAGGTACCGAAGCATAGGTTCTTCCAAGTTATTGTTTAAACCATATAAATATATAAATCATATAAAAGAGTTCATCAACTTTCCCAAAAGCATAATTGTACCAAAGCCTCACCAAAAGAGCTGACAGCAACGGTGCTGCAATCAGGACTACGACGTTCAACTCAATAAAAGCAAATTTTTTTCATGCTAATAAAGAAATCCACTATAAGTAAACTGGTTTTCAGCATTCATTACATCTATATGAGCTACTGTCCTTTTTAGCAGAGAAAGTAAGCATAAATGAGAGAATACTTCTCAAATATTGCTCATTACCTGTATTTTACAGGCATTTTAAGAACAGATAAGTATTATATACATCTCCAGCTATAAACTGGGCAGTCTTTTTTTATCAGCTGAAAGTTATACTTCATTTATTTTGGCTAAATGTTACATTTCTGTCAATTAAAATGACAAAGATGACAATGGACAAGATTCCTGTGGGTGCCAGGGACGGATATAATAGTACATCAATGGTAAATGTAAAAATGGAAATAAAACTACATTTGGCATGCTTCATGGTCCCATTAAAATAACTTCCCCCTCCACTAATAGGCACCTCAGTCCAAGTTTGTTCTTTTAAAGGAATCATCCCAGCATGCCAGGTTTTCACTTACCACTTCTAATAAAATCCACCAACCAAAATAAAACTTACAAGTGTCCTTTTGCCTTGAATTGCTTCACATTCCACAGGCAGACAACCAAATCTGACTCCAGATGGCTGCATAGATGTCACACAGTGCAAGAATAAACACAGAGATGAGCAAGGAAGGATAAAACCTCAGAAAACCTTTTTTGTGACTCCACAGTCTTTTAATTAGACGACACAAAAGTAAAAAGGATGATATGCTGAAGACCATTGCAAAATGCTACTGGAATATTTGGTGAGGTTATTGCTCAGTTTCTAGCTGTGATTTATTAGTCTTGAGCTATCTTCTGTGTTCTTCATAAGCAACACAAATTACAACAGTGACTTGAATCAAGTATAATAGGTTTTTCAGGTCTATTTTCAGCTTTCAAGGACTAAATATAAGTGATGGATAAAGCCCCAGCTAAATGTGTACTCCCACTGCATCAGTATAGGTACAGGAGTCACCTGAGAACTGAAATGCTAAATAAAGAATGCAAACTCTACAGGACTGAGTTTGTTTTGCACAGTGTTCTATTGTTGCCATTATTAGTTGCTTGTCTGGCATTATCCTGTGCCTTCTCAATTAATTTATTGCTTACTGTGCACCTATGCAGATAGCCTGGCATTTGAAGAAGAGGAAAAGTCCCACTATTTCACATGAGAAAAGGTAAAGTGAAGAACTTTGTGAGCCCTTGGACCAAACAAGCACTCAGCCCTGATGGCTGAAGAATCTGTATCCTGCTCCACACAACTCCTTCCAGCCTGAACAGCAGCTCTGGAGTCAACAGACTGCAAAGAATGTCTAAGGAATGTGTTAAAAGCCTCCTATGGTTCAGGGGAAGTCTGAGGAAGAGGAAATGTCTCAATTTCGAGTAAAAATTGTTCCTAACTCGCCCAGATCTTTACAGGCTGTAAGCTCAGTGATCCAGCCTCTTCCTCTGCTGCCTGTGGAAGAATTCCTCCAGCTAACAGATCAATTCTGTCCTTACTTCCTGGGTAAGAAGAACTTATGATTTCTGGTGGAAAAGAAAAATAAATCAGAATTTCACTAACATTAAAGGATGATGTATTTCACAGTAAAATTTGCTAGAATACATTTATACAAAACTTCATAAACCCCTCAGATGCTACTCTTTTATTCAATTCTCTCCATCAAGCCATATTTACTCTCACCAAGAGTGTTTGTTCCAAAGTAAAGCACTTGATATCCTGATCTCCTAAGCATATGCTAGGTGGATGAAAAGTACCATGTGGCTAAGAAAAGCCGGCATGCAACACTTCTTCCACTTCAATGAGAGACGGGCAGCCTACCAAAAATTCTGAAAATCTTTTCACAAAGAAGGACAATTTTTGTGCAGAATTCTGAAGATAAAAATAGCAGATTAGGAGTATGTTTATACAGCAAAACACTCTGCTTAAGGATCCTTGTAGCAGATGAGGTCCACAGCAGAGGGGATATGCAGTATGAAATGGTTCTCCTGGTAACATGTCCAGGAACATGAAAGGCACAGGCATTTCCAAAATGGGTCCCACATGCACTGGCATGAAGAGTTCAGTGATCCTCTGCAAAATCATGTGTGAAAAGAATTGAGATGTCTCGTGAATTCTGTGAAATCAAACCCATGTCTTGGACCTGTGGGTCCAAATAAGCATTTAGAGAGCACAAGGGATGAGTCCTGCAAATACCCTGATCCCTTGGAGTGCAGTGGAAGAGAGCAGGAGCACTGTGCACATCTCCTCCCTAACAGCCCATAAAAACTGAGGTGGGTTTTCCATGGCAGGAACAATGAGAGCAGAGAACCTCACACTGACTTGGCAGAGAAAGGGGTCAGAGATGTGCCCCCTTTCTGCTGTATTTTTTTTTAACCACACAGTATTTTAATTCAACAAAACTCCCTGCTGTCCTCCCTGAAGTGCAAAATTACAAACGGGGATGCCAAGCTAATCTTTGTGAACATTTAAAATGGGAATTTATAACAAGACAAATAGTTCAGAACACTCCAAATGTATACTATATATGAACAGAAAGAAAAGAATAGTTCCCTTGTCAACAGCATGAAACATAGTGGATGAGATCAGGATTATGGCTGTCAAAACCTGTCAACAGCATTTAGAATTTTCTGTGTTCCATTGCATATATCTCTGTGTATCACTGCAAATCCAAATAACATCCTCAATGACTGGAGACCAGATCAGGATTTACAAATGTCAAAAACTGCTTTGTGCCCTGATCATAAGGAAAAGTTTATAAACTATGTATTAAATAAGAACAAATTACTGCAATGCTTTATAATTACTAAATTCAGAATTTTATAAAAATCTGAATCAGAAATGATGAAAGGAAGGTCTCCTATTTCTTCTCTACTGTCTAAGTCAAAAGAAAATTGCATGTAGCAAAGGAGCATGTACCTGCAGCTAATGAACAACCTGCCTTGCAATGATGATAGAGTTGATACAAAATTGTCTGTCAGTTTTGCAAGACTATAATAATTTGGATCTCTAAGCAGCTTTCAGGACACAGCTTTTTGCACAGCATTTCTGTCTTTTCTCAGGAGAATGACATATACAATTTTGAGATAAAATTTTGGGTTTGGATCACATCTTCCAATCTTTTCTGACACTGTACAATGCCTCAGAAATAGTCTCAGAAATCAATGGCTTTCATGAGCACTTTAGTCACTGCTGAAGGACTAACAGCTCCTGTGTGATCAATGCCTAACATTTCCAGCAGGACTGTGAGAGCTGAAATGAATTCTTAGCCAAAAAGTATTAATGTTAATAAGAAAACAATAATTTCTCATTTCTTTATCCATTAATACCTAAATCCTACACACATGACACTGAAAATAGGCAGCAAACATTTATCATCCCTTGCCTTAGCACTGCCCTTTCCAGCACATGTTCTCTGTCTCTGTCCTGCTCTTTATACCATCACTTTATTATACAAGAAAATGCAGTGAAGTAGAGACTCTTGTCTGGCCTTATGAGAGGTATTTTCCTACTCTGAACTTAGGAGATATAGTTTTACATTGACAGATACTTTTCACTTGAGAAGAGGAAAAAAAATCACTATTTTGATGGAGAACATCTCTCTCTCCCGAGGCCAAAGAAAATGCTTTCCTCTGCTGAGTGAAAAAGCTGATCCAGGAATGCTCAGGCCACTGCCAGTGAGTTTAAAAAATCAGTTACTTTGACACATAGAGGTCTATTAACTGAAAAAAACTCAAGCTGGCTCTAACCTTGGGAAGGGACACAGCACATTTATTACAGTTCTCAGAAGGAAGGACTAATGTTAACTGTGTGTGCTGCCACATGATCAGGCAAGTTGATTACAAGGGAGGAACACTTCATTCAGAACAGTAAGGCAGTCACAAGTACAATAAAACAGCCAATAATTCTCAGCATTGTTACCAGTCCTGTGATTTTGAAGGAAACACACTGCAGGACAGCATAGATTACATACAAAGTTTGTTATGCTGGAAAAACAGAAGTTTCTAGAAAGTTGGAGACAGCTTTTTCAGGAAAAAAAAAATAAATCTGCTTTCATTTCATATAGGAAGACATAATATGTTTGCCACTTAAGAGAGCATTAGTAGGTCTTCCAGAAACCCACATATTGGTGAATGAGTTGTGAAGGTAACATTGAATTCATCTGAACGTTTCTTGAGAGCACAGGCTGAATATACCTGGCTAATAACAGCTGTGGAAACAGAAGCCTTATGCACAAAAACATAACCAGTAACTCACTGCAGATGAACCAGCAGCATCTCAAGCCAAAAAGCCTGAGATTTCTGCTTGTAGTGGGCTGACCTTGGCTGGTGCTCATCAAGTTGTTCTATCACTCATCTCCTCAGCAGGAGGTGAAGGAGAGGGAGAAGATAAGATGGAAAAAGTTGATTTATTTTCTACTTCCCATCAACGAGGGATGTCCAGCCACTTCCTGGCAAATAGAGCTTCACTAGGCATTGCAGCCATTACAAAAGACAAATGTAATAATGAGTGTCCCTGCTCCCCTTTCTCTTATTGCTGAGCAGACATCACAATGCCATGGAATATCCCTTGGTCAGCTGGATTTGTTGTCCTGGCTGTGGCCCCTGCCAAGATTTTCCCACCTCCAAAACAAGACTGCTCTGGCTGATGGTTTCTCTCTTTCCCCAGCAAACCCCAAACACCTGCACTTCTACCTGTGTAACAGGTGACATTTTCTTGTGTCTCCTTCATTCTGTTTGGGGGACTTGGACTTGGGACTTGGAAGGAACCAAGTGATGATTTCACATGTAAAAATCTGTGGAAGTCTCAATTATCTATTTTAGAGACAGAATCTGCATGTAAAAGTGGCATTTTCACAGACAGCTACTCATCTGATACACAGCAACATTTTGTTACTTAAAAACAAAGCAAATACTTTTCCACTCTTTAGAGAAAAATTATTTCTCTGAACAAAACGCTCTCAAGTTTCACCAGGATTCTGAAATGAAATGAGATTGCATTTCTCTATATAATTAATTATAACACATAAGCCTAAATTATTTAGAAAGTTTCGTGCACCTTTACAATTCATAAATATATTCCATACTTGTTTCAAGAACTGTTATAGCAAGTACTGTTAATTTCTCTATTTTGATTAACAACTGTGAGGAAGATTAAAAAGCTTGTTGTTTTTTTTTTTCCCAGGCACTTTATTCCCAGGCACAATTCTACTTACTCAAGTAAGCTGCAGCACTTGAATAAAGTGGAGATTTATATCCCAGGTTTCACAAGAGGAAAAAATTGGAAGCATCTCACTCTTTGCATATGTTTAGCAGGTTTCATTCTGATGTATTCTAATATATGATTCTGTTTGTGTATGTTTGTACCCTTACACTTATATAAATGTTTGTATATATACACACCAATTGTCACAGCTGCTTATTGTAATTTTACCTCTTTATTAATCAAAATTAATTGGAAAATATCCACATAAATCAAACATAGAAATGTTACTGCTACATATGCTGTTATCTAAGATTTTTGTATTTACTGCAACATTTTTTACTGCTGCAACTCTATAAAGGAATCAGAGAGAGAATGCTGGGGCAGAACCCGGCAATTCAACAACTCAACAATATTCAAATTTACTATGAACCTATTATTTCTGAGGAGATTACTTGTTTCATCTATTTCACTCCCAACAACACCTTTGTTTGAACCATTAAGAAATATATTTAAGTGACAAAATTCTTCTACAGTTTCAGGAATCTGCTTGCTTTCAAAATGAAGTAATTGAATCTGATTTCCATTGTACAGTGGTTCAGACTGGGGAAAAACAAAGTGTTTTCCAAATAAAACACTTCAACAGCAGAAAGCTAAAAAAATAAAACAAAACATAACCGAGTAATCATTTTCAAATACAAGTTCAAAATGAAAAAAAGTCACCATTCAGTACCTTTCAGGGACTGCAAACTTTGTGTGAATACAAATCCATGGCAACTTTAAAGGACTAAAAATATGAATTAAATTCCTTACTTTTTTTTTTCAACTTTTTCTTTTTCTTTTTTTTTTTTAATATTTAAGAACAGCCAGAAGGAATAGAGAAACTTTGCACAAATCCCTTTTGGCCTCAGCTTTCATTAGCAGGAGGGGTTTGTTGGTTTTTCTAACACTCTGCAGTGCAGACAACTGCTGCTCTGGGGGACCTGCAGTGCATTTGCTCAGCCTTTAATATGGACAATAACAAAAAACAACTTATTTTCTAGAGCCTTCCTGCCCTGTCACACTCCCTCATGCTTCCTGGCAATGCCATTTAGCCAGCAACAGGCTGGAGCAACACTGTAAAGAGAATGAATATTTTAAGCTGCCAAGCAGCTGGTCCCTTACAGGTAATATGGGTCATTTGGGAGTAATGTGGGTCGTGCCCTCAGGAGTGAAAATACCCCTGCACCTCCTCTCAGCAGCAGGAACACCACAGCTTCAAACTTCATTCCCTTCATGCACAAGAATTGCCTCACACCTGTTTAATGCAAAAGACAACTGGTGCCTCTGGTAAATTTTTTTTGCTGTCCTCAATAAGCAGGCTGCAAAAACTTCATGTCTGTGTTATAGATGCATATATTGTTAGCTTTTTGCAAAAATTAAAATTTATGTGTGTAAGAATGGAAATTTTTGTTGTATTAATATATTTTTTTTTATTTCTGTTATTGATGAAACTTAGAAATAGTGGTATAATACATATATGTTAAGCTATGACATAGTATTAAAACAAAAACTACTTCAAGAGGATTGATCTATTGGGAAGGGGGCAAGAGAAAATTAAACAGGAGAACACCAAAGATCCTAAGAAGAATGTATGAATATGTATGAGAATTTATGGATATGTAGTAAGACTCTGTTTTTAAGGGATAATCCTTTGTTAGTAATGTGTGCTCTCTTGGCTGAATGCAGACACCCAGCCATATCTGTATACTTTATTTTTTTCTCTTAACTGGCTTTTTTATTAAACTTTTAAATTCTATAAAAATTATGTGAACCTCGTTTTTCATATCTGCAAGGACTCCAATTCCAACTCAGAAAACTTGGATGAGAGTGCACCATAACATCATATCTGCTGAGTGATTCATCCTGAGATGTTCATTTTCACTTTCATTCTCTCACATCTGTGATGATTAAATTAAAAAAAAAAAAATCTGTAATATTATTTAACTACCCTGACCTTTTCTTATAAGAGTTTTTTTAGCTTTATTCTATAACTTTTGTGCATTCCATATGGATTCTCCATAATACAATTAATAGTAAGATATATAAAATGGAGGAGAAGAAACCTTAGATAAATCATATGAAATAGAATGTAATGAACAAGTCAGTGCTTTATTTTTCCCAGATCAATACTGTGACCCATTAGTTTCACTGATTTCCATACCATTTCACTTGCAGTTTTACAGGAAAATAAAAATGACTTTCAGTAACAAACATGGTCTGAGATTCAGAATTCAGCAAAACAAAACTAGTTTGCAAACCATTCAAAAATTGCTTGTACATGAAGATAGTACAGCAAGAGACTGGGTATCAAACTCTCAATTCCTGAATCCATAAAATCTAAAAGCATAACATTTTTTAAGTCCCAGTGTACCAAAAAGCTCGAAAAGAATTTAACTGCCCAAGAGAAGTGGGTAGAGACAAGTATTTCAAAAGATGCAGTATTTCAGAAAAATATTCAGAAGCCAGGATTCAAAGGAAATTATAAAGCAGAACTCCTAAAATATTGGAAAAGAATGCATCAGAAATTATGGTACATAGATCAAAAACAAAGGAAAATTATATAAAAAAGGAAAAATTCTGATGGGCAGCTATCTCACAGGAATCCTTTGAATCAATTTTCTGATACGACTGACTTCCAGGCACACATGCCCTATCCTCCAAAAGGTTTTTGAAAAAGTGCTTTAAATTTATGAAGTCCACTTTCTCAGCAGTCTTATATCATTTCACAGCTGAAAACAAAATGCACCAAAAACTGCATCAGGGTGGGTGGTACTTTTATCTCTTACCAGGTTGTAAAATGAGGGGGAAAAAGATAATACAAACCAAGTGAAGAGTATGACCTGAAATATTCTGAATCCATTTTATAATACAAGTTTTTGATTTCTTATGTAGCTTATTGCAGCTTCTCAATTAACAGTACAAAACATAAATACAGTGCCCAGAAATGCAGTATTTATTAGTCAATGTTGGCCATAGCTGTGCTGAAGCAGTGCAATCTAAATTCCAAAGCATCCCCAGCGTGGGACCTGTGCCTGTCTGGCTCAGTGAAAGGTTTTCACTCACCCAAACCTTTCAGGCAGTTTTAAATGGACACCCTGTAAAATCACATCCTTTCATATCATTAGAAAAATAAGAATGCTTCTTTATCTATTAGGACGTGGCTCTTGCTTCTAACTTATATAGGTCAGGACAAAATAATGAAACATTATTCAGGGAAAAAGTTATTTTGAGTAGGTTATTTAAAGGTCTCAGAATCTTATTTTCCTTTCCCCTTCCCATCTCAGAAGCCTATATAATTGATGTATGACACTAGAGTACATTTTTTACAATAGGAAGAATTAAAAATTGTAAAAAAACCCCAAAACTTTTTCCATGTGCTAAAATATTTACAGACATTGATCAGAGCTTTAAACAAATTTGGTCTCAAAAGACCAACGCTGGTGACAACTGAAGACAAAACCATCAAAAACAAGTCGTCATCGACTTTCTGTTCCATCTTTCCTCCTCCCTCCCATACCCCAACACCTCAGCTGAATGCTGTAAAGCTGATGGCACACACCTACTTCTCTGGGGAAATGCAATGATGCACTGTTCCAGTTTCATCAGAGTAATGAAACAAACCCCTGCTAATTGGAAACTTAGGGAAGAGAGGATGAAACTGGGAGTGGCACTGCACAAAACACACATAAGTGTTTTATGGTCATCTCTGTTAAAAAAAAAAAATAGATAAAGAATGAGCTGACAAGAAGTCCATTTGCCAACTGCTTCATTTTAATGAAAATATCAGAGAAAAGGTATAATGGAAAAATGATGGAGAATAAAATGTTTTATATTCAAGGAAAAAAAAAATCTGGTGAGATAAAAAGGACTACTCCATCTGGAACGTGTGCTACTCTAAAATAAACCATAAAATTTAGCTATTACTCATTCTGAGCTCACAGGCATTGAGTTTTGTTTGATATTAAAGTGATAATAATAACTGAGTTTTCCAGAGATACTGGAAAACATATTATGCAATGGTGGCTCAGAGCATTTCAACAGTGTGTAATGTAAGGGTAGCTAATTTAAGCTTCCCATAAGGGTTTCCATGAATGGAAAGCATTTTGTTGAAGGCTAAAACTTTACTGTTTACTATATTTGCTGAAAAATACATGACAAATATTTTGGGATTAGAAAAAGAGAAATGACAAGATTTAATCAGAGGACAGAAGGAGGATTCGTAACTCAGTAC